ATAGTAATACTTGTGTCGAACAGTGGCACTATAATGTGGATTTCCTACTAAACAACGATCGTTGTAGTAGCGATGATTTTCTTAATCGCGACGATGGAAGCATCGACGTGATTGTCTATAGAGTTGACGGGCCACGTTCAATCTTTGGGGGAATATCATCGATCTCATCGATGGGGAACCCAAAAGACTTCGAATGACTTCGAAACCGAACGAAACCGACAGCCAGACAAATATCTATATCGAACTCGTTAACAGAATCTATGGTAAAACCAAATCTATGTTGGACTGGCCACTTTATACCCTCCCCCAACAGAGAATGCCTCTAACACACTTTCCTTTGAAAGGGGTCCTTGGGGTGAAAGGGGTCCTGGTCGCGCCGCGCGCGTGCGCGCGCGCGCGCCAAAATGGCTCCAATTTTGACACCTTTTTCGCGCGCGCGCGCGGCGCGCACAGGACCCCATTCACCCTGAGGAATTTTTCAAGGGAAATCTTCTTCTCTATAAAGTGGCCAGTCCAGGTAAAACCCCTGAAAAAACAGAATCTATGTTGGACTGGCCACTTTATACCACCTCCCCCAACAGAGAATGCCTCTATAAAGTGGCCAGTCCAGGTAAAACCCCTGAAAAAGCACATTTTTACTTGGAATGGCCACTTTATACCCCAGCCAGTCGGCTCCAGGACTTTGACCCGGAAACGGAAGGACTGACAACAAGGTAAAGGGGGAAAACTACAACGGAGAGGTACAACGGGAAGGCTACCACAAGAAAATGAGACATGTCGCGTTTATATACGTTTATTGTTTTCAATGTGTCATATAGATTGGCGATGATTGGTATATTGAATATGTTGTAGATGTATTTTGGAACATATGTATACCTATGATTCACACATCAATATAAATATATATAAATCATCAACACATGCCAAACCAAAAACTTTTAGCTGAGTATTGTATTCCCAATCTGTTGGCAAATGTCCAGCCGATTCACCATGCGTGACCAAACAAGATTCAAACTATGGATTGTTTACTTTCGATTTTTGTTTTACTGGTTCTTGCAAACAATTTATAGAGGATGGGCATGGACCGGCCAGTTTATACAGAGGGTGGGGCTGCCAGAAATGACGTGATCAAGCCACTTTATAGAGCTGAACTTTCTTGCAAACCATTTTATAGAGGATGGGCATGTGGCCGTGGTTTTGGTCCATAGATGTCCATAGATTTTTAGGATGATTTTGGGAGATTGTCGTCATAGATATACGTAGATTCACCCAATTATTTTTTTTCGAAAGTAAACAATCCATAGTTTGAATCTTGTTGGGTCACGCATGGTGAATCGGCTGGACATTTGCCAACAGATTGGGAATACAATACTCAGCTAAAAGTTTCTGGTTTGGCATGTGTTTATGATTTATATATATTTATATTGATGTGTGAATCATAGGTATACATATGTTCCAAAATACATCTACAACATATTCAATATACCAATCATCGCCAATCTATATGACACATTGAAAACAATAAACGTATATAAACGTGACATGTCTCATTTTCTTGTGGCAGCCTTCCCCTTGTACCTCTCCGTTGTAGTTTTCCCCCTTTACCTTGTTGTCAGTCCTTCCGTTTCCGGGTCAAAGTCCTGGAGCCCACTGGCTGGGGTATAAAGTGGCCATTCCAGGTAAAAATGTGTTTTTTCAGGGTTTTACCTGGACTGGCCACTTTATAGAGGCATTCTCTGTTGGGGGAGGGGGTATAAAGTCAAACATAGATTCTGTTTTTTCAGGGGTTTTACCTGGACTAGCCACTTTATAGATGCATTCTCTGTTGGGGGAGAGGGGGTATAAAGTGGCCAGTCCAACATAGATTCTGTTTTTTTCAGGGGTTTTACCTGGACTGGCCACTTTATAGAGGCATTCTCTGTTGGGGGAGGGGGTATAAAGTGGCCATTCCAGGTAAAAATGTGTTTTTTCAGGGGTTTTACCTGGACTGGCCACTTTATAGAGGCATTCTCTGTTTGGGGAGGGGGTATAAAGTGGCCAGTCCAACATAGATTCTGTTTTTTCAGGGGGTTTACCTGGACTGGCCACTTTATAGAGAAGAAGATTTCCCTTGAAAGGGGTCCTCAGGGTGAATGGGGTCCTGGGCAGCTCTATAAAGTGATTTGGGTGATGTATCTCATGACTCTACAAAATGCTCTGCCGCAATTTTCTTTCTATAAAGTGCCCTGGATGCAGCACAAATTCTTCTTCTTAAAGGGCAAGTTTCACTCTATAAAGTGCTTTGCCATGTATACAGCCCCAACAGAAAAATATTGGCCCGAAATAATTAGGGAGACATGTTTCTATAAAGTGGATGGTGTGACATATTATGGCCATTCTTCGAAGGGAACCAACGGTCTATAAAATGCATTGCCGCATATATTGAGTCGTTTCCTTGTGGGAAACCAGCCGGGTATAAACTGGAAAGCCAACGTTCTAATAAAGTCATCTTCCAGGTCCA